AAATACTTTAAATTCTGTTAATATCCTTTTTTTTTTATATTCTTCAAATACTGTTAATACTCTTTTTTTTTATTCATGCCATAAATATTCATATTCAGATTTGTACTTCACACAATAATTTATACAATATTTATGTCTGTGAATATTTATAGGAACATCGGAACGTATATATCTCTTTTTTCTTTTATTTTATTCCTGTTAAATTTCAAATTGAAGGGAAAAAATTGTAATGAATCATGTTTCCCAGATATGAAATATTAAAAATATTAAATCACATATACGCGAAATTCTACTTATAAAAGTTTAGTATAAAATATCCCTCCCCTCTCCCGGTTTCAACAAATTTAATTAATATCAATTCGTAATTATTTAAGAATTATCTACAATATAATATTTACGTAATATATAAAAATTTCCTACTAGATTCCCTTCTCAAAAATTTGTGAAAATATTTCTTAAATAATTATTTATTTTATTACAACATTACAATTGTCAAAAATCTCTTAAACTCCTCTAAGAACAAGAAATAAAACACAAGAGACATAAACTGAAATAAAAGCTGAAACAGAGAATATAATAAATATAATAAATACCAAAACTAAATAAACCATGGTATATAAAAAGGAAAAAAAAATAGCAACTCAAGATTCAATCTTTGAATAACGTAAACGAATTACTCTAAAATCGATTAACCAGTTGAGAAGAAACGAAACGTCATTTGTGAAACAGGAAAGTATCTCTAATTCGATGAGAGATACTTTAACTTTTTGAAGCATGACTTTTCTAACAAAAAGAGTTCCAAACTGTCAACAAAATTTTACTTTAATCCCATTTTTATTTATTTAAATAGTAGTTTATTCTAGTTACGATTTTTTAGTTTTATTTATTTTTATTTGTTTATATAAAATAAATAAGAATAGAATTATCTCAGTTATTTTTACGCGTGTAAAATGATACAATAACAACAAAAACTAAAAAGTAGATCGATAACATTTATCAAAGGAGACCCTAACTAAACAAACTGAGTTTAATTACTTTAACCTTTCAAGGAGTACGATTTAACATAAATTCCTATGTTCTCAATGATCTCAATTTTTTTTTTTTTCTTTTAATTGTTTTAATTTCTCATTTTCTGTAATTTTTCTGAAAAACATCCCAGCCAGCATATAAGAGTATTTTTCGAAAACAACTCTGCATCAAAGACTCATCGCGTGCAAGGAGGGTTTCCTTTGTCTATCGAGGAAAATTTAGAACCGAGACAAGAGGAACATTTCATTTAAATTGCAAAAACATTTCACGCACGATAGAGATCGAAGTCAGAGCAGAAACGAACGGGGAAATGAGAGATTCGCAGAGAGCCGGAAAATTTTATCTGCGCTTGTTATTGCATTACATGATGCATTCTCCGTATTATGACATCGCGATGTCACCCTCTTCGTATCGTTCTGCCTCTTTTTAATCTGCGAAATATTAAACGCGGAACACGTCGTGCGAAATATTCAACGCGAAACACTCTCGTCCCATTTATATTTATTTCCCACGAACATCGACTATGCTTTCCTTTGTTTCTCTCTTTCTCTCTTTTTGTTTTCGCATAGCGATTTCATTGCGCAGTCAAATAAAAAATAATTCAATGATAATGGACAATGACAAAGCGGCAGACAAGTTTTATCTCTTCAACGTTTAAAAAATATATATGTTAATTCTTTTTCTTTTTTTTTTTTTTTTTATACGTCTAAAAGAACATCTCTGAAATTTAATCTCGCAGATCATCTGGCCTGGAGTTTCACAAACGGACGATTCCGTGTCCTTTTGTGAAAAATCCTTTGTGACCCTGGCAGCCGTGAACTGCATCCCACTAATGGGACATGACAGTAATTCCACCAGCTAAATTTCCTATCTGCAATCTGAATCTGCGGAGCAATGCAAACTACGAATGTAATCCCCTCTCTAATTAATTAAAGCGATGTTTAACGTTGAAGTTGATCGCGCCACTAACGTCGGTCTTGTTACAAGCAAATCAAACTGATCCAATGATTGGTTTCAATTCGTCGAAAAATTTCCACCGAGAATAATCAATGCGTCACAAGTCGTAATTCTTCAGTTAATAAATTTGTTTGATGGTAATTGGCCTTTTGCATTGATAACAGACTGGTTACTCGTGTTTAGTTAATATGTGTGAGTGTGCCAGTGTCCTGTATTCTAGTTCTACTGATCAACACGAAAACAGTAAAGACTTTTGGAAACTTTGGCTGCTCGTCGACTTCGCAAATTCTATGTGAATTGAATAAGTATTTTGCTTGATCAGTGCACAATATTTATACTTGACAAA